AAGGAGAATACCCATGTATGCAATTTTTGAGTTCATTGCAGGATAGGTGGAGTATAAGAGCAAATATGAGGTGGTATCGTAAAGTTATAATTATCTGGAAGTTATTATGGTATATTGATGAAATGTTGTCAGTGTCATCATTGGTCCCTAAGTGCATGATGTTGAGAAAATCAGCTCATTGTGTCCTTTATTTTTGTTATAGGTTGTGCCAGAAGTGACTAAAGTGTAAGATGGAAAAGTACGAGGGGGTATCGTAAAGAAATAATTATCACCTGGAAGTTATTATGGTATATTGATGAAATTTTGCCAGTGTCATCATCACCAAGTGACTTCTTCTTTTCCCAATAATGAAAAATCCATTGTAGAGTCACCAATTTGACAACACAGATGACATCATTCCTGAAGTGGAAGAGTAGTTTAAGGCGCAATCTGCAGACTTCTACAATAACAGTATTCGGAGGGTCAAGAAATGCTGGAAAAATGTGTAAGCCTGAATGGTGACAACATAGAGATAAGTTAACAACTACAAATCAAAACAAATTTTCTGTCACTTTTTAAAAAAGGTGATAATTAAAACTTTACGATACTCCCTTGTAACAGGCCCACAGCCCAGGCACAATTTGGTATGCAGAGGAGGGAAGAGTTGACAAGTAGTCCTCTGTGTTTTTAATAATAATAATAATAATAATAATAATAATAATAATAATAATAATACAGTAACATTGGTGGTGGTGGTGGTCCTCTATGACCTTTTTCATCTTCAGTTTTGATTTGATACATTTTAGCTGAGTTGATCACCATTCAATACCACATAGATGACGATAATCTAGTATTAATTATTTGATTTATATTCTGGCTTTCCTCCCTAAAATAGGATTCAAAGCAGTTTCCCATGTTAAGAAAGTTAAGAAAATCCTAGGAGCCTGAAAACCTCTATCCTTCGCTTTGCAAGTGCATCAACTAGAGGGTGCCTGGGTGGCTATACAAAATGGAAAGAGCCTTTAGAATATGCATGTTGCTGGCATGCTAGCAGCAATTATTCAAAATGGACTGGCCCTATCACTAGTGCATATAGCATATGTGACACCCATATGACAAAATTATGAAAGAGCTCGTGTGGCACAGTGGTTTGAGTGTTCAACTATGACTCTGGAGACGGGTTCAATTCCTGGCTGGACCATGAATCCCAGTGGGTGATCTTGGGGAAGTCACATGCTCTCAGCCTCAGGGGAAGGCAATGGCAAACCTCCTCTGAACAAATCATGTCAAGAAAACCCTATGATAGGTTTGCCTTAGGGTCACCATAAGTCAGAAATGACTTCAAGGCACACAACGAGAACAACAACAGCAATCATGAAGACAAAATAATTATTAAACACACAGGTAGGGTGGCTGTGAGAAACCTCTACCTTGTTTTGATGTAGTGGCCAGCTGAACAAGTAGGCAGAAGAGTGCTGGTGGTGGCTTCCCTGCCACACCTTTACCTGGCACCAGCAACAGCCTCCAGAAAGCTGTCACCATGGCAAGGAGCCACATCCTCTTGGAACCATCAGAATGGGTAGAAGCCAAGTGTTGAGGAGGGAGTAAGGGAGTCAGGTGCAATGAGAACTAGGTGATGCTGTTACCACCACTGGGGGAGTCATGCACCTCTTCCTCTCATCATCCATTGGGTGCTCATGTGTCCGATGCCTTAACTGCAGTTGCTGCTGAGGAGAGGAGGAGGTTATGCATTCACCTGTATTGCTGGTGAAGTCTGATTTGCCTCCTCCCCAATCCCACTTAATAGATGAGTGTAGGACACTCCCATGAGGAAGGAATCAGATAGTGTTAAAATGTGTATAGTGTGCCAGGAAGAAAGATAATGGCTTCCTGGCACACTATAGTCATATATAATTCATTTATATATGGCTTCATACCACACTATGCAGTCTCTAAGTGGCTTACAACTGTAAGCTAGTTGCCCCCAACAAGCTGGGTACTCATTTTAGAGACCTCAGGAGGATGCAGGCCTGAGTTGAGCATGAGCCCTGGCTGGTACTGAACTTGCAACCTTGTGGTTTGTAAGTGAGTGGCTGCAGTACAGGCATTTAACCACTGTGCCACCAGAGCTCCTTATACTACACATATTTCAATACTATCTGACCCCATCCTCATGAGAGCATCCTACACTCATCTATTCTCTTCACCTACAGGCTAGTTTCTAATGCCAAACTGGTCTTGTTACTTCATTTCCATACACAAAGGCTAGTTTCCAATTCCTTTGTACACAAATGGCCATAGTTAAAACTGGACTTGTCACTTCATTTCCATTTGAATTGACATTCTCACACACCAATGGCACATACAGGCCTGTCCCTGGCTTCCACTCTACCAAATGCATCTGAAGAAGTAGACTTTAGTTTATGAAAGCTCATGCTGCTAACTTCTTTCTTTTAGTCTCAAAGGTGCCACAGGATCTCTCTACATGCTAATTCTATAGACTAACATGGCTATATCTTTGAATTCAAGGAGATTTATTCTCATGCAGTGGAGCCTTCCATGTCAGTGGGGGTAATGAATCTACTTTGGGTTCTAGTATAAACTGTAAAGAGCTATCCAGAATGCTGAACCCCACCCTTGATCAAAGGCTTAATGTCTTGGATAGCTCCTTTGATGCTCAGTCTCAATCCAAGAGTGGATTCACTGCTTCACGTACATGGAAGTCACCAGTGGCTCCAGATAAATGTGTATTTAGGGTTGTAGCATTCCCTCTAGCAGGTATACTTTACACTACCATAAACAATGCCTTGCAGGAGGATTATTTCCAGAAAAGTTGCTGTAACTTAGTTGCATCAGAGATATAAATGCTTGGGATCTGTTGGCTCCTGACTCAAGGCTGCCACGACTTTGTCAGCTTTTATTAATTGTGCAACATAAGCTGTGTGCTGCTAATGTATCTCCTCCTCTCAGTTTATAAGTCCCAACGAGATACTATGATTCTGCTTTCCTTGAGCTATTTGAGATGAACATACATTCCCTCATTTTATCAGTCCCATTGAAGCACTTTTGCCTGTTTCTCTTCCTTTTTGTCCATGCAATTTTCTACCACTGAGCACAGGAATACTGAGCCTTCTTCATGTTGTAGCCAAAGTTGTCCTTTTCCAGCTGAGCCTTTATGTTCATTTTTATTTTATGAATGTTTTCAGGATAGCCAAATCTACATACAGGGGTGAGACAAGCACTGATTTTATTGCAGGACTTGGCTCTTTGATAGACCCTCAGCCACTATTCCATGCTAGATTCTTTCATCCTAGAAAAATGAAACCATTTTTTTCTGCCCACACAAGGATTAAGTCTATTGAAATATGCCTAAACACTATAAAGGCAGTAGATCCTGTCTGATCTTGGAAGCTAAGCAGGATCAGTCCTGGTTAATACTTGGATGGGAGACTGCTGACAAGTACCAGATGCTGTAAGCTGTTATATTTCAGTGGAAGGAACTGGCAAGGCCACCTCTGAGTATTCCTTACCTAAGAAGACCCTATGAAAAATTAATGGGGTCATCTTACATTGACAGGCAACCTGAAAGCACATACAGACACTGAAATATGTACAGAGTTTTGGGAGTTTTGCATCACAATGGCCACACCCAGGAACCTAGGAAAACTCACACCTTACAGAACAATTGCTTTTCCCACTGAAAAAAGCTGGAAATATTAATATAGCCTAAGGCTTCATGGGGACCAGGAAATTCGTCCCCCTCCTGAACCTGCCCATGGTTGAACCTTCTGGAGCAAGCCCACATGCCTTTGTTTTCTTCTGCTGTTCCTAGGGTATCTGGGGATAGTACAGCATTCTGTGATGCTTGTGGGAATGAGGTGGGGTTTATTTTCATGTTTTCACATGGTTTGGAGCAGAAATTGCCAAAAAAAATCACACAATTTTTTAAAAAAATTGGGAGGGATTGGGGCTAAAAAAGTGGGGTCCAATGGCCACATGCAGGTCCTAGTCTACACCATACTCACACCTGTTCCAAGGGCTGGCTCACATGTTCATTGCCAAATAGAAAAGTCTGTATCCCACCAGAAATTATTGATCTGTGCAGCAATGTTGGTCTCAATTAATCAAAAGAACATGGAGTCACTTCCTCACATTTTGCCTTCCTTGTTGCCTCAAGTGTCCAGTGTTTCCCATCACCCATTCTCCTACTGATGATAGAAAATGGGAAGCTAACAAATACAAGACAGAAGAGGAGGCAAACAACCAGACAGTGACTCCCTTGCTTGAGAAACAAGACTGTTCTGGGCCACACCAACTGACCAGGAGACATGGTAGCTCTGAATCACAAAGCAATGCAGAAACTCAGACCCTGTACTTGACTCTCCTGGGATACCAGTCTGTCTTTCTGGGTTTCCCCAGATGGTCTGTGACACCATTGTTTGGCTTCATTTCTCATTTTTGTATTCGTCCCCTCCCCATCATTCTATCAGATTGAAATGCTTCATTATTGGCAGTAAGAGATCTTTAAACTAAGATTCTTCTATATCTTTTCTTTGGATGCCTAAATTGTATTTCTTCAATGCTAGAAATTTTGGGACTGAAGGAAAATCTAATTGGGGTTTAGATTTCTTTTTAGGGGGGAATAGAGCTTTAATTTGTCTCACACACCTTCTTTGCAGGAGTATAAGGGGAAAAAATCCTGGAAGCAGCCTATTGGCCTGAAGGCACAAGATTGTATTTGATTTATCTTGTCAATGGGCATGTTTTTCATTGCTTTTAATTCTCTGTTGTTGTGTGCCTTTAAGTCATTTTTATCTTATAGTGACCCTATGACATATCTGAAAATTGTTGGAGGTCTCCCATCCAAGTACTAACCAGGGTTGACTTTGCTTACTTTTTAAGACCAGACAGGATCTGGTGTCTTTAAGGTATTTAGGCACCATGCCCACATTAATACCCCCTAAGTGCCTGCAAAAGAATAATTGGAAATCTCAATCTTTTTCAGAGTATCCCATATTCTTTTTCTCTCTGTAGTATCATAAATATTTGCCTCTCCTCATTTGTTGTATCCCCCCCCCAATTTTTGGCAGCCAAATTTGCGTAGGGAGAAATCAGCTGAGTAAAATTCCTAGAAAAGCCTAATCTCCAGCTGCCTCTTAAACACATTTGATCACTCTGTTGCTGTTTAGAGTCTTGTTAACTTAAATTTGTGTTAACAAGTGACATCACAGACCTGGCATGCAAGATTGTTTCATTGGCTGGCTAACCCTGCTATGAGACCAAGTTATCTGTGTATGACATAGAAAATAAAATGACACGTTTCTGAAATATATGGAGCCATAGGGCATTTCCTTCAGGAGTTTCCTGTTATCACTCAAAATCTTGAAGGTCATGCTAAGTTTACTAAATATCTTTCACAGGTCCTTGCCTGCAACATGGATAAAGGCATGAATCCTGTTGGCTACAAATTACTCTTGTGTACAGTTGGCCCTCTGTACCTATTGATTCTTTATGCACAGATTCAACCACCCACAGTTTGAATATATTTTTTAAAAAATACAAATTCCCAAAAGGAAAGCTTGATTTTTGCCATTTTATAAAAAGGATATAATTTTAGTATGCTATTGTATTTAATGGGACTTCAGCATCCACAGATTTTGAAATCCACAGGGTTGTCCTGGAACAAAACCCCAGTGGATACTGAAGGCCCACTGTATGTATCATTTTGTTCGGTGTTGATGGCAGTATTCAGCATTTCCATCCATAACAATCTGCTCCATGTACCACTTACCTGTCTTCAAGCTGTACACTCCCTCTGCACAGCCATTTATTGATAGGGTAAGAACCAAGGGTCAAGGTAGCAACCAACTTTGTTTCCACAGCCAAACCCAGGAAGGAATGGCATCCTTCCGTCTCCTGGAAGATCCTCTGGAGATCCAGGGATGATGCCATTGTCCTGCACTGATTGTGGATGGGGCCAAAGTGAGAAGTCGGCAGGGCCAGAGCAAAAAGTGGATGGGATCACTTCTTTCCCCTTTCTCTTTCTGTCTCCCTTTGCTTTTTTCTTCTGCTGCCATTGTGTTCCTTCAAGTCATTTCTGACTTTTGGTGACCCTAAGGTGAACCTATCACAACAGGGGTTTCTTGGCAAGATGTTCTCAGCAGAGGTAGATAAAATGTGACTTGCTCAAGGTCAGCCAGT